ACGAGCTACGTCTGTGCGCACCTGTTACCGTCGCCGCCGACATCGCCACCGCTCTCCAGGGGTCGCTAGTCAAGGTCGCCGACTCCATTCTAGCCTATCACAGGTCAGAGCAGTAGTCTGAACGTCAATAGCAAGGGATTGTAGATTGTTAAGTTTATAATGAGAATATACCTATATATTCATATATGATAATGAGCCTGTGTGTAATTTGAATCAATTACTATATATATGTCCAATTTATATTGAGGATTGTAATCTGCCGATGATTATATTATGTCATATATGTGATAATTATACACATCACGTCATGTCATAACATGTCTTATCATATAATGTAATATTGTATCATATCATATCGTATCATATCATATCATATCATCATGTCATGTTATATCATATCATATATCATATCATATAATCATGTCATGTTATATCATATCATCATGTCATGCCATATCAGGTGAAATTTGCTTCAAATATATAATATATATGGAATGTAACATAATTAATAATATATAAAATTTATAATATAATGTAATGACTACGTGACAACATCGTATGACATTACAGGGCGGAGGAGTCAGCGATGACGGATCGTGAGCGCGAGAGGTTTGCTATCATGTGCGGTACGTTCGCGTGTGACCTGGTGCCGTATCTATCCACGTGTCTACACACCGTCTACCCGGTCGCGACACTTGCTCAGCTGCTGGGGGTGTCCATCCACGAGCTAGCTGACATGGTGAGAGCCGCCGCGCCACACTGCATCATGCTGCGTCACGCTACACCATCCCGTTCCATGTCATGCTGTGCCGTGCCACTCCACATGTGTCACGCCATGCCACGCCGCCCCATGCCATACCACGCCATGTCACGCTGCCCCATGCTACACCACGCCACGCCACGTCACGTCACCTCACGTCACGCCATACCATGCCACGCCACGCCACGCCACCTCACGTCACGCCACGCCACGCCACGCCACGCCACCTCACGTCACGCCACGCCACGCCACGCCACTCCACCTCACGTCACGCCATACCATGCCACACCACGCCACGCCACGCCACCTCACGTCACGCCACGCCACGCCACGCCACGCCACGCCACGCCACGCCACGCCACCTCACGTCACGCCATACCATGCCACGCCACGTCACGCCACGCCACGCCACGCCACGATCGCACACGTCACCTTACGTCACCTTATGTCACGTCACACCACGCCACATCACGTCACACCACGCCACATCACGCCACATCACGCCACATCACGCCACATCACGTCACACCACGCCACACCACGCCACGCGATGAGCATTATTAGATTACATACCTGCAGTAGGATGCAGGAAACCTAGCTTTCACCATTGATCGTGATGTCGTGTTACATACCTGCCAGTATCTTTTTATTAAATCGTAAAGCTGTGGAATTTGTTTAAAGTATCTATTTTTTATAGTAGCAAGATATCTATGGATCTGTTTTTTATAGGTATATAGTTGTATGATATCTATCGATCTATTAGAATCGTCGTGTGACCGCGGATGTTGTTGTTTTTGCTGCTGCAGGGGAACATCGGTTCGTTAGACCAGGAGTTGATTGCCGAGCCATTGCAACGTTTCATAGCATCACACATGTCTGACTCCGGAATCACGTTCATAACGCCCGAGACGGACGCAGCACCTGCAGAGACACCTGGTGACGAAGCATCGGCAGAGACACCTGGTGACGAAGCATCGGCAGAGACACCTGGTGACGAAGCATCAGCAGAGAGAACTGGTGACAAAGCACCAGCAGAGACACCTGGTGGCAATGATGTTGAGGTGCCAGCAGAGACACCTGCTGGCAAAAATGTCCCAGCAGAGATAACTGGTAGCAATGAATCTGTAGGAGAGACACCTAGTGGCAACAAAGCTTTAACAGAGACACCTGGTGGCAATGACACACCAGCAGAAACACCTGGTTGCAATGAAGTTCCAGCAGAGACACCTGGTGGCAATGAAGATTCAGCAGAGACACCTGGTGGCAATGAAGTTGCAGCAGAGACATCTGGTGGAAGCGAAAATTCAGCAGAGACACCTGGTGGCAATGAAGTTGCAGCAGCGACACCTGGTGGCAATGAAGATTCAGCAGAGACACCTGGTGGCAATGATGCTTCAGCAGAGACACCTGGTGGCAATGAAGCTTCAGCAGAGACACCTGGTGGCAATGAAGCTTCAGCAGAGACCCCTGGTGGCAA